TTTACCTCTTTAAATTAGTCCCCTTTCTTCATTTAATTCTCATTTCACTTTTTCAAAACAGTCCGCGTTTCTGTGTGGAAACTAGAACTAAGCGAACTGCAAGAATTTATTTAATTCTTTGCAGAATAGATTCGGTTCAATAGTTTCGAATAATCGATTATTGCGCCCGTTGAAGCGAAATGTAACGGCGGACATTGAAAACAACATTGCAGATACTCTTGCGTCTACTCAGGCCTATGCCGATAAAAGCGATAACAATGATCGCATCAATTGAATTCAATGTTATCCGTTATCGGGTCGTGTTTTATGATCCAAGTTATGGAATAGAAGTAACAGTAGGGAATATACTTTGCGACAGGTGACGACTTTTGAAATCTAATATAGATCGTTATCTCTATGTACATGATTTTTGGTAGACCGTGAGTACTAGAACACGTTACGTATATAGCACGCGGTATATAACCATCCTAACTTCCAAACATCTTTACTCTGTTCGTTGTGTGAAAGGCAGGCATAATATTATGACGACGTTATGCGTAGTGCATGATCTATGTTAGTATTGGTATTTATCTCTATATATAATACGAATGTTTGATTTTACTGTTTGCGGTTCAAGTCGTGTTTGATGTTTTGTTTAAGCGAATTGATAGTTTAGTTACTTTCGAAACGAAGCTTTATCATGTTTTATGCGTCATATACAGATCTTAGAAACATAATAGTAAATTTCCTTATAATGTTTTAAGTTTATTTCATAACTATTGATTTATCTTTTACTCTAAATGTATTAGAAATTGTCTAGAAACTTACGATTATATTGTTATTATATTACAATTTAAAAACTGAAGATTATGCGTTATTTTGTACTTATAAATAAAATTATTAGTTAAAAATATTTTGCTTTTTTAAACTATATTTATATTTATTATTTATAATAATATTTTATAGTTATTATTAGTTATATATATATATGTTTTATATTTATTTTTAAAATTTATTTTGATAAATTTTACATGTATAACAAAATTTATTAAAATAAGTAAGAAAATAAATTTTTGGATATTATAAAAGAAAATATTATTTTTGGATAGTACATTATTTCATAATTTCAATATGATTAAATTAAATGAAATATTTATATGTTAATTTACATTGAGAAATAATTCTTTTAGAAAAAAAAAAGAATTATGATTTTGTATCTTATAATTTTTTATTTCATTATTTATAACTTTTAATTTTTTTCATTATTTATAACTTTTAATTTTTTTAATTATTTGTAACTTTTAATTTTTTTTAATTTATAACTTTTTAATTTTTTAATTATAATTAAAAATTTTATCATGACCTTATGAAATATAATATATTCATATATTTATATAGAAAATTTTAACTTTATGAAATTTTCAGGATGTATATTTTATGCTAAGATCAATAAGAAACAAGATGAAATAGAATCACAAAGTGCGATGCATTTAACTTTCATAATCTTCATAGCTAGATCACTTTTGACCCAGTCAACTTAGCGTTCAATAATAGAACTAATTAAATGATAAAAATTAAATAAGTTTAGATCTACTGATATGGGTTACTATTGATCCATAACTACATCGTAGACTGTAGGAGTAAATATGACATTTTTATTTTAAATAGTTTAATGCAGTTCTGATATTTTTTCTTTTATAAACGTACATTTAGAAAAATATAGCAATAATAAAAAACTTTAATTGTGACGAGTTTTTCTGTTTCATAATCGAAGAATATACAATATATTAAACAACATTGCGCAAGATAATAATATATAAGTATATTATATATTCGCGTTTTTAGTTCTATGCGAATGGAAAATTTGTGATATAAAATTTTTCTTTTTGTAACATAAATTTATCAATTAATTTATATTAAATATAATTTTTGATATAATGATATACAAGAGTATTTATATTTCATATACTTGTCATTTACATATATATTTTTATGCTTCATTTACAATATTATTTATAATATTATACAATGAAATATTTTTCAATTGTTAAAATCGTTATTAGCTCAATGTGCTTGTTTTAATTTTATGATTCCTTTATAATGAATTTTATCTGTCAAAAATTTTTTTTTACCAATTATATTATATTTCATCGATGCAATATTTAAAATTTGTCAACATGAAATATAATTGATATATAACTATACTATAAAAGAATAACTAATTTTAACTAATAATAATTAATACAAGTTAAATATCGTTGATGATATTCCCTAGCATGTAATTCATACTTTTAGAAAATTAAACGTTTTAATTAATTTTAAGAATTTTCTTTTTCTTTCTTTTTTTT